AAAGCATTATATATATATACACATTTATGTATATGGTCACCCCCAAGATGTTGCATAACGGTGTGCTTTAAAAAATGAGGTGTGAATCATGGGAGGAGGCGATGAGCAGGTGTGTATATCTGTATATATATATATATATATAGTTGTTTTCTATGTTTCGGCATCAAGGGGGGTCAAAGTATGCACTCCCAACAATGTCACCACAAGAGACCGAGAACCCCAAAATGCAAAGCTGACACGGGAGAATCCCAAATCGATACTTGCTCCAAGATCCCTGGCAAAAGGGTAGACAAAGGCAAAACCAAACAAAGGTTGGTCATCTTTGTATCGGCTCGGAGCAACCCCAAGTTTGTCCATTGCTCATGTAAGCCATGGTCAAAACTGCTTATATGGACTATGGTCATGGTTCCCCTCACAGGAGTCATTTAATTACTACCAGGTGGATCCTTACTACCAGGTGGAGGACCATCCCAGCAGCCCCTAGTAAAGGGGTCTTTTGACAATTGCACGTGTCACATCATGCCCTCAAAGAACTCCAAAGTGAGCCAAGCATCTTGAGTCACAATCCGAAGCTGGTACTAAAGTGGCCCCAAAACCAAGTAAAGAATGACAAAGGCAACAAAAACCCACACCTATGGTTGGGATTGTCCCTCAACCTTCACTGACTCAGGTGTGAATCTTCCCTGAAACATCTCTGGACATCATCTAGGGGGTGAATCTGTCCATGAAGAACCTGCCCGTTTGATTGCCCATCTGAGTCGAGTCGCGTAGACTCATGACGCCATCCGATGGCTTCGGCGCACTCCACGCACCTGCGTCGGACCGGATGCATGACAGTTTCTGTGGCCCATAACCTGCCAAAAGCCAAAATGCGCGGATGACATTGTGGCTAAATGTCAAGATCTACAGTTACAATTCCTCCAAACACAAACACGTGTCACACACACACATACTCTTGCATCATATGTGTATATACATCTATACACATGCGCACATATATATATATATATATATGTATTAGGCACAAGTGGTTGTCTGTCTGCAAAGACGTATGACCGACTATCACTGTACGACGGTACGGATCTATTACGGTATGACTGTCTCAACGTATTAATATATGAATGCATGAATGCAGGAATACATGATTTATGAATGCATGTGTTAACACATGTGTGCCCCCATGCATGCATACATACTTTACTCTCTCTCCCTCTCTCTCTCTCTCTCTCTATATGCACAATATATATATATATATATATGTATATATATGCAGAAATACACGTATGTAGATATCATTGTATATTCTGTGTGTGTGTGCGTGTCTGGAATTCACGTGACAATCTAAAGTGCAACGCCAGTCATCACAGCAACATGCTTGTAGAACAGCTACGTAACATCTGGGACGTCCGTGTGTCCATCCCTTTGTGCTCCACGTCTTGCGAAACTATTTTGTGGTATGTGCTCAATAAGAGTGTCTCAAAAATAGGGACCCCCGCAACACAAAAGGTGGTTGTCCAGCCCCAAAAGGGCACTCACCTATCTTTGATGCCCAACCTGGTGGAATCCACGGGGGTGCAAGGCTCTACGCTGTCTGTTTTTGAAGATCATGTCAGTACAGGGATGAAGGGACCACCAAAATGACCGGCTTCCTTTCGGCTTCTCTTTGGGATCCAATCCCAAGAAGGGTTGACTCAAACACCACAACACACCAGTGGGATTCCCTAGGCTCAAGACATGGCGGGTTTCATGTTCAGCATCATTCAATATATGTGCAGTCTCACTTCCTGAGTGGAGGAGTGGGCTTCAAGAATATGTGTTGAGTTTTTGCTTAACGCCGATATGCTCATACCATAAAAGTGTTTCGGTCACAAAATCGGGGGCAGCGAGGAGTGAGATCATGGGCTCGTTTTAACTCTAAGCAATGAGTCCCCATTCTCTTCTCCAATTGTTCTCTGCAGTAACCACTCGTGTTCCGCCGGTTGTTCTCATTCTCAAAAGAGGAGGGTTCCTACGTAAGTAGAATGGGGAGGGTACGTCTAGATAACGGAAATTCTGATTGCACCAAAGGACACGCATGTGTTTTTTGGCCTCCGAAGGCACCAATTCAACGGGTCAACCAAAAAGGCTCTACTTGGTTCACATTCGGGGTACTCCCGAAAACAGCAGACTGACTCTGTTTCACATTCAGTCTACCCTTAAAGAACCTATTTTTGGTGGAGACATCGGCGTGATGCCTGACTCGACTCGACTTCCCAGCCTCCTGGTATGGAAGGGTTCGTTCTCGAATCCGCTGAGCCGAAAAATCGAAGCCACGAAATGCAGCGCGGGAGTGGCTGAGATGCTCTCGGGCAGTGCTTTAGGTGCCAAAAGGGAAACACTTGTTTTTCTTTTGGGATTCCTTTGAAGCAAATCGAGCACCTGATACGAGCCTCGAACAAGCAATTTGAAGCCCTGACGTTCAGAACGGCGAGCTTGACCTGGACCCAGATTCGCACATCTGACCGGGGGGTTGGGCAAGTTGAAGCACTCAGGATAGTCCTGGTGCTGCCGTGAAGAAGCAAACATCTTCATGTCCAAGTGCTGAAATCTGGTTGCTCAAGCAGTGACTTGTAGTGCCACTTGCTCAAGCCATAGTCTTGCATGCATCAAAACATACTTGTAGTTCTCCAGACGGGCTACCCGTGCTGCTGTTCAAGGAAAGCGGACCTGCAACAAAGCGTGGGTGTGTCCCTGGCGCTTCTAGCTACCAAGGCGAATAGCTACTTTCGCCACTGAAAAAGGCGAGTCCTTTGTTCCAACTCAGAAACTTGGTCCTCACTGTCTGCCATTGTGTACCTATTGCCTCAGTTTTGGTATGCTAACTAGATGTTACTCACCTTACTGTCTGGTATTCTCATATCCATTTCTCCACAAGAGCTGCACGTCACAGGTGAAACGTAAACGATGGTAGGGCCCCTCGCGGCCCAAGCCGCTTGCCATTGGAACTGGCCACTTGCTCACTTGAGTGAATTGGCTGTTTACCACTAAGATGGTCTCCCAAAAAGTAGAAAGTAACTCAGGAAGAGAGACTTCAAGGACATGAAGAATAAGCTGGGGCTCTCGGGTACTTTTGCAAACCCACATCAAGTCATTTTAGGAGCAAAAGCTGGAGTTTAACACCTAACCGAATCGCTGTGGCATATGCTTAGTAGGGAAGCCCCTGTGACAGAAATGAATGGAAACCATGGGGCCCGCGCAATGCCTGCTGGTCTAGCGGCACGCCGGTTTGCACTCTTCAACCCGAGTGTAGCTAGTAAGCAGGGTTTGCCCTGGAACAAAGGAATCGGTGTCTCTAGACGAGCATCTGCTTGGATGGAAAGCAACACAAAGGCAATCAACCGGTTGGCGAGGTTCCTAGTATATTTCGGGAAACGCCAAAATGTGAGCAACGTGTTTTCCGTCAACTGAAAGAGACAAACTAACCTAAACGCGTCAAACACAGCTTCTGCACCAATCAGACGGGTTCATAAGGAAGTCCCAAACAAACTGATGGGTTCACAAATAAGCACTGTGCAACATGCAAGAGCTATCCACTCACTCCCGCCGTGAAACTGCCCGGACTTGTCAAAATGACGCCATGTGGGTGTCCTCGAAAGAGAGAAGGGAACCTTGTTTCAGGTTCAGGTTGCCAAACTGACACCAAATGATTGTTCAGGGAGGCTTGACAATTTTCAAACAAGCCCGTGAATCTTGCCAGGGACCCTGAATCCACACTCCGTCATGCGCAGAATATGTGTTCCTAACTCAAGTGCCTACGAGACTCGTCCCATTCCTAACACCCATCGAGGAGGAAACCAATCACGGCCAGGGCTTTCCAGGTGCCGCTCATTTAGTTCGGCAGAGTGACCTCCACTTGACTTGGGATCTGAGTCACCACGATAGGGCTAGTCTTTGGGAACAGAATGGTTCTCAGAACCCTGCTAAAAACCCCTCGAAGTAGACTCTAAGATCCTGGCCTGCGCTGTGGGGGGGAGCCTTTGGTGGTTTCACAATAGTAGCTATAACCAAATATGTGTCAATTTGTTTTTTGAAGGGCGGTTCCCTTGGTTGCCTGCTAGCGGAACCGCTCGGTCTGCAAATGAAGATGGACCCCTCAAGAGGGAAAGTACACTCGGAACTAGATATTCACCACCCCAAAATCGGCAATGAAGACTCCGAAAGGAAGCTGTGGCAAACCGAAACCTGTTGGGCATGCTCCAAAGACCCGATGGTGTGTAATGGTGGTGCTCGACAAACGGAAACCAAAGCAACGCGGTCGAGTGTTCTGGTTGCGGATTTCTACAAGTCACAGACTGGAAATCACGAATCCCCATGCAAGGAGCCTTCATATCTGTTCGCTGGCTTTGCCCGGTGATGCAGGTGACAACCATCAAACCTGTCTGGAGGACCCTTTCTGCCTGATATGCAGAGGCAAACTTTACGGAAACCAACCATTTCGATTTCGGACCCTGACTTTTTGCGACCCTCTACCAAAACTTGAGAGGAAAGCCTGAGCTGAAGTAGGAGTGAATTGCTCACAAACGGTTGATTCGGGTTTCCCTTTCAACCTCTTCAACCTCCTCAAGCCGGCTGCGAAAAGACCACTAAGACTACCTAGGGCAAAGAGCGGATCTAAAGGAGCAAGGAGCTGTTCATGCGAATGGAGGGTCCTTGCATCATGGAAGCCTCCAGTTGAATGACCCCTTCAAGATGAAGATGGTCCTGCACCCGCCCACAGTCAAGTTCCATGAATCTGGACGGGAAGGTATCCTTTTGCCCTTTCTGTTTGGTGGGTGTCCTACTCAAGATGATCAACCCGCCAAGGCAGGATCTAATTTTCTAACTGGGTTACCAAGCAACTGGGGAGTTTGTGTGTGTGAAAGCACGAGGACCACCCATATGTTCAGCAACAACTCACGCACGCCCGATCAAGCTCAGGATACGGTGACTCCTCAAAACCAGCGCGCCCACCTTCGCCCCTTCGCTTCCAGCCGGTCCTGGGAACTCCTCATCCTCCCACAACCTCCAGCAGAGCTAGCCCCTATGTGTGTGTGTGTGTGTGTGTTCTTCGGAGTGTGTGTGTGTGTGTGTTTTGTGTGAGGCTGGTTGAAAGAAGAACCAGAAGCATGTTCTCTGATTTGACATCAAACACTCGCAGGTCGCCAACATGACAGCACCTGTCATTTTGTGGCGCCTTGGGGATGGTCAAAGGGTTTCCGATTGTTGCTGACTGCTAAATAGGTCTGGAACAATGAAAACATATCTATCCCCGTATGGATATCCTGTGAGTAAACCCAAAAAACATCTGAGCTATGTGGCACCCAGGCAATTGCGGCAATGATCCCCCTCTGTTCCCAGGTATCCGAGGGCGAGTTGAATCGAGGGCAACAGAGTCTTGAAATAGGGGAAGCCCCAAAATCGGATGGCAATTGCTTTTGGCTTCCCCTTATGAGACCCAAAAAAGTAGCCCCAGAAAAACAAAACCAAACACGAAGAGACCAAGTCTCGTCAAAAGCACAACTCCTGCCAATCTGTTGCAGGGGGTTGTAGATCATAGATCTGTGCTAACTGCCGGAAGAGAATTCGCCCACCTTGACAAAACCCAAGAACCATGAAATGAGCGACCGTCCCTTTGTCCACCGCAATATTCCCAATCTGACTTTGCATCGATCAAACGTGCCCTTTGGCTCGTTGGGCTCAACGGACTTCCCCAGACTCGTTGGTGAAGTTTCAACGGACACCTTCTCCAGGAAAACAGGGCCCCACTGGGTGTCGGGGGTTCATTGCGCTTGATTTTGACATTTTGACGATCCTCATGCCACCTTCTGCCGCCCCAGATTTGTCTTGGTCTATTGGTCAGTTGCCTGGCATTCTGCTGCTTGCTCACTCCCCTGATGAGCTACTGGGAACATGACATCTGCATCATCAATATACTGGTCGGCATTCGACGCCGGTCCAAGAACTGCTTGGTCAGAAGCCAGTGAGGCAGTTGCCAGAACTGCTTCAAAAGGCCTATAGGGCATTCTCCTAACCAAGCTGAGTGCCCTGGTGGTATCATCTTCATAGGTTTGGAAACCCCATGTATTGGAACCCGTTTAGTGCACCCAGACATCTACTAAAATTGATAAATGAGAAGAAAAGGACTCCCCCAACTACCGGCTTCATGAACCCGAGCTCGCCTTCTGATCGGCGAGCTGCGCAGAACGCATCTGTTGGTTCTTTCACCATGGCTGGAAAGGTGTGCATATGACATATGCCTTGCAGATCCCACAAAACCAAGTCGAACCGAAACGCATTTTTGTTGGGCAACAGGGGTCCGTTTGGGGTGCTGCTCAGGTGAGCTCGTTCAACGTTGTGGAAAGCACAACTTTTGTGATACCAAAGTGTGCCATCGCCATGACTACTTCCTCAAGTTCAAATCAACTCCCTTAGATAGTCTGGGCCCACATCTGGTGTACCCCAAAAATAATATGTTCATTTGGTGTGATATGTTGTCTACCCAAAAAACGTAAAATAGTTCCCAGAATGGTCCACAAGCATGAGCTCGTTAGCTAAATTTCGCTCAGCAACACCTGCGCCGGCCTCCAGAACCACCACGAAGGTTTGAGAGTCCTCGTGCCACAACTTTCAAAAGCAAGGAAACCCGTTTCTCGCGTGAAGCGACGTCCAACCTGTTTGGATATGGCTGTCAAAACCTTATAGTTATAGTAGTGCTAGTTTTGGCTGGGATGGGAAACGCACACATTCCTCGGCCTTCCATTGCTACATAAATGTGTGTCATGAAAAATAGCTTGTGTCAACTATTTTCGCTCAATGATCCAAAGAGTGCTCCCAGTGATTCCATTTTCCGGCGCAAGTCCGTCCTGCTGAAAGAAGCAATGGTCTGCAGGGTTGCTCTAAAAATCCTGGCTCAATGCACTAAGGGGCTCAGTGGCTCAGTACTGACACACACACACACACATTCACACGCATGACACCCTATTCTTCCATAACCCTTATAGGAACCAGGGACTAAACAAACTTGCGGGAAATGTGCCATCGGCTTTCACCCAGCTGGTAGAAAGCGCAAGGACACCAAACCAGTTTTCTGCCTTCGCTCATCTTTTGGAGGCTTGGAGGCTACAACTCTAGCCGCTGTTCACGCATCATTGTCGCCGGTCTGTTGCTGGTGCCTCTAAGCTGGCTGAAGGCCGACCTTGGAGAATCTGAGAAATAGAGTTTGAATCCTTACAACTTGGGCCATTATGAATACTTCGCGACTTAAAGAGGATCCCCTGCGTATCGCAAAACCCGACCAAAGCTCCACTTTGACTGTGATGCCATGCCGCACATCTTGGGCCATGCAGTAATGGCACTCAACCAATGTGATGTCTCGATCGATCCGGCTGCTAGTCTCTTGCGATTTCCCTTTTAGGCCAAGGTGAACACAGTCCCTCAAAAACACACATAATATGTATCTACATATGCAAATGAATGAATATGTATGCATGCATGTACATGTATATATATATATATATTATATACATATGGCTATGATTTTTTTTAGGGGTCTGTAACGCGCGACGCGCCACGAATCTTGTTACGGAGGTCTGTAACGGAGGTCCTTGTTACGCAGGTCTGTAACGGCACAAGCATTTCCTGACAAGAAGTATCAGTAGCACGATGTAGCGCAGCACAGGTATGTAACGGCTATGTAACGAGATCTGTAACGAGGCAAAGCAAAGCGCAGGACGCGAAGCGCGCCTCCGCAGCTCCAGCTTGATTGCAGCTACTCAACGCAAGCCAAGCTGCGGCAAAAAGCGGGGTCGCTGGCCCGGGCTGGGGGTTGGGTCTGCAACGAGGTATGTAACGGCTATGTAACGAGGTCTGTAACGAGGCAAGGCGAAGCGCAGTACGCAAAGCGCGCCTCCGCAGCACCAGCTTGCTTGCAGCTACTCAACGCAAGCCAAGCTGCGGCAAAAAGCTGGGGCTGGGTCTGTAACGAGGTATGTAACGGCTATGTAACGAGGTCTGTAACGAGGCAAAGCAAAGCGCAGCACGCAAAGCACGCCTCCGCAGCTCTATTCAACGCAAGCCAAGCTGCGGCAAAAAGCGAGATCGCTGGCCCGGGCTGGGGTTGGGTCTGTAACGAGGTATGTAACGGCTATGAAACGAGGTCTGTAACAAGGCAAAGCAAAGCACTTGATTGCAGCTACTCAACGCAAGCCAAGCTGCGGCAAAAAGCGGGGTCGCTGGCCCGGGCTGGGGGTTGGGTCTGCAACGAGGTATGTAACGGCTATGTAAGCGAGGTCTGTAACGAGGCAAAGCAAAGCGCAGTACGCAAAGCGCGCCTCCGCAGCACCAGCTTGCTTGCAGCTACTCAACGCAAGCCAAGCTGCGGCAAAAAGCTGGGGCTGGGTCTGTAACGAGGTATGTAACGGCTATGTAACGAGGTCTGTAACGAGGCAAAGCAAAGCGCAGCACGCAAAGCACGCCTCCGCAGCTCTATTCAACGCAAGCCAAGCTGCGGCAAAAAGCGGGGTCGCTGGCCCGGGCTGGGGTTGGGTCTGTAACGAGGTATGTAACGGCTATGAAACGAGGTCTGTAACAAGGCAAAGCAAAGCACTTGATTGCAGCTATTCAACGCAAGCCAAGCTGCGGCAAAAGGAGGGCAGTCACGTCACTGGCCCGGTTTGCTCATCTGAGGTGTGTAACGAGGGCGTGTAACGAGGGTGTGTAACGAGGGTGTGTAACGAGGGGTGTGTAACGAGCCAGCTGGTTTTGTTACAGAGGTCTGTAACGAGGTCTGTAACGAATGTCCGCCGCGGCTCTGTTACAGACCCCTCAAAAAAAATCACTGCCATATATTCCAACCCATCAAGCTAGAGAGACAACACCGTGCCGGTCTAAATTCGAGGTCTGCCAGCCCTGGCTGCTGGACCTGGATTCTTGATCCACTCTTAAATGTTGAATAGGAGGCCAAAAGAACAAGAATGGCACTCCCGTTTGGTGTCTCTTTGAGTAAATTGAAAGTTGTGGGCTTGGCGTGTTCGAGGGAAATTCGGGCCGATGTTGCCCGCGCGATGCTGTGAAACCTCTCTTTGCATGCTCTGAAGCAGGTGTTGCACGAGTACGCTAGTTTGGGTTGCGCACTTCTTACGCTGACTAGTACCTTCGTTTGACCAGAACCTCTCAGGTGCGTGTGCCGCGGGAAAACTGGGAAATCGGTTTTGCTGCTCTTGCTTTAGCCAATGGCCAAACACTCTCTCGCAGCAAAGATTGTCCAGACAGCGCTCGCGGCCGGCATGTTTAAGGGGCCAACGAAGGCAAGTCTGCAAACAAATACTCCATTTGATAGGGGCCTACTAAAAACCGATACCTGCCAACCTGCAAACCATCAATAAGCGACCACCTGCCCAGACTGGCCCCGACAGGGCCTCATCTACCACCGTCTTGAAGTCCCACTCCTCCTGTTGGGACCCGAACTCTATGCACGAGTCTCTGGTATTCATGAACACCGCTACTTATGCGATGACTTCCCGCTGCAAGGATTCAGTTTTCGCCCGCACGTGGCGGCTGATGGATGGAGCACACGGGGTAGGGTCAACACCTGTCCCCCGTTGGGAGGAGCAAAAACGGCCTTCCGAAAGGAAGCGGTTCAAGAGGACTTTCCTAAGGGTGTCAGAGGGCAAACTCCAGGATGCGGCCCAGGATCGAAGACATCGGCCATGTTTGGTTTGCTTATCACATGGTTGCTATTTGAAAGCAGGTATTCGCTTCTTGGGGGGCAGAAAAAGGGACCCCCTTAGAGGATGTCAGCTTCGCTCAGGAGGCAGCATGTTGCGTCTGCAACTTGGCTGTCGGGGCCGTCGGCGGGTTTTCCGCTTGGCTTTTATCCGAGGTGAAGAAAGGCTCCCGGTGAGCCCTTGAGAGGTTTGCTTGCCCGCCTGCCGGTTCTCAATGAGTTGGAATGACTCCGAGAGGGAACAACACCATCCAACGTCCACGCTCCAACAACTGCTTTCTCCCATTTCCAACACCCCAAGTGCTGTCCAGAAAACAGTTGCTGGTGGGTGCTGGCTGTGGTTTCCTGAAAGACAGATCCCAAACTCATCCTCAAAGCAAGGAACCTCGACCAGCAAGAAAATTACGTCGCGGCGCCCCGGACCACCCTGGCCACAGGAAGTGCTAGGAGATTTGTGCCCAGTTCCGAGTCACCGCCCCCGTGTGAATCAGGGGATGCCCTTGCATTGGGCAAGGAGGATTTATCAGTATTCGTTTCATCCCTCTGACAAATATGGGTGTGAATTTTAATACGGGAACCTTTGGACACCATTTAGGTGGGGATTCATGTCCACCAACCACTTTGGAGGTGTTTTCCAATGGAAATTCATTAGCCAAATAGTATTCCTCCCCAAAATTCGAAGTTAATCAATCCTCTTCAAACTCCTTCCGCCAGCTTCCGTGACACTCATACTGAAAATGCCCGAAACAATGGGAGTTGCCGGAATGAGTCACCACCCCAAAACAAAGGCTATGAAGGAACCTTCATCGGACTTCCCTCTAAAAGGAACCTTCGTGGGCAAGACCCATGACCCACCCCCATAAAAGGGGAGGGGGGTGGGGTGGTCCCCATGGCTATTTTGTCCTAGTCTTCCCCGTCTTACCGGCCACGAAAGCAAAGAAACTACTGATGTGTGTATGTTGAATGAGGGGACCCCCTAACATGCTGGCTCCCTTTAAACCAGCCTTACCAAGCCTCGACAAACAAAAATAGCACATGCCATTCCATCGGGGCTCAGGGCCTTCCTCTGCCCTCCCGGCGCTCCCGACTCCCGCCTCGCCATCGGGCAATGGACAAATGGCCCTCTGCGAGAAGTCGTGCCTCCAAGGATCCACACAAATCTGACCCCTGGACTGTACCCGTTGTGGGAGGAAACTAATTTCCATGTCAACCCTGGATTTATGTAGAACCTGGCGGACTAATTCATTGGGGTACAATCCAAAAGTGAAGGGCTCCCTCTAGAGGTCTATTCATCTTCGGCTTTGGAAGGAGGGTCCTTTCCTACACATGGTCGTCTGCACTTGCTTGGAAGCAGCTGGAGTATGGGAGGTGTTGCTTTGGCTGGACAGCTTTGCTAACTCACCGACCTCCTATTCTGTTGTCCAAAACATGTTGCTTCTGGCCCATATTTAGAGCATCAACATATCGAATAGTTGCAACAGAAATCCCAGTACAGCCCGAACCATGATCACATTTCCCCAAAAAAACAACCACTGGTTCAGGTGCACGTAGAGAATCTGCTGAGCCACGGTCAAAATTACTTGCTCCAGGTTTGGATCATATACTGGTAATTTTGACTAAACCTCATGTAGCGACCCTAATGTCGTAAAAACTATCATGTCTCCAAAGAGCTCGCAAGTTGTTGTTTTCGCCTGTGAAAAAAGGCTGGCATTGCCTGGCCGAGAAACCACCGCACTCCAAACAGTGATTCACGGAAGAAGAAAAATGGGTTCTAAACGCATGACTTGCCTCCATGAATGGATTTGTCATTGCACAATGGTGTGTTTCCCTTGATATCCATCAAAATTTGCTCAAAAGCGGCACAACCCACCACCCGCACCCCTAAAGCCGAAAACGTGGCATAAATACTTCTGGTTGCCAAGCCCAAATGGGACCTGGAGCTTGTTGCAGCGAATGTCCGCCGACCAAAAGACGGGGTTGAGATATGCCAACCCCAATTGGGCAGTGGTTTTGGGCGCTGCTAAGTTGGAAAACAAAGTGGGGATCACCCCTCTCCCCTTTCGGGCATGCCAAAATTGGTGGTGGTGTTACTCTTTTTCCAAGAGCGGCACTCAAACAATGCATGCCCATTTGAATATTTGTGCCCAAACAAATTCGAGACACCCTCGAAACTGGTTCAGGAGCGCCAACGCAACTTTCTTCGTTGCGCGGTGGTGGTGGTGGTGGTGGTGGTGGTGGTGGTGGTGGTGGTGGTGGTGGTGGTGGTGGTGCTGCTGCTGCTGCTGCTGCTGCTGCTGCTGCTGGTGGTGGTGGTGGTGGTGGTGGCCGCGGTGCGCAAAGACGCACGTCATGCATCTGTTCGATCTTCTCAGCCTGCCTCACTGTGCTAGAGATGCGCTTGGCGTCGGAGCCTGCATCGCGTCACGACTGGTTGGCGTTTTGCAGAAACGTACTAGGGCCTCTATCATGAGAGTTGGTTTCCGGGGGGGGGGGGGGGGTATTTGCTGTAAATTGTTTGTCATGATAGGAGCAATTGAAGTTTAACAAGACTTCCGTTGCACTGGAAGTAAGTGAGCTTTCGCTCTTTCTAAGAACACACGGAGGGCCAAGGACGCACGCAATCTCTGCAGAGAGCTCACCATGACCGAGACGCAGCGAGAGCGCATCGACGGCGCCGATCCACGCAGAGGGTTCGCTGAGGCCAAGACAAGTCGCGCGGGGCGATAGCGAGAGCGCCTTGACGAAACCGATCCAAGTAGAAGGCTCTCCGAGACCGAAACAAATTGCACGGCGCCACAGCGAGAGCGGGGTCGACCACGCCGATCTGCGCAGAGGGGTGTGCTTCGATGGCTCCGATCGGGCCTAATTCTACCCGCCGCAGAAGAAGAGCATGTAAGACTTGAGAAGGTGGAAAATAAGCAGTCAGCATGCATGTGTGTTTAGGATGGAGAAGAGCAGAATTTCCACAAGATAGCGTTAAAATCGATATTGTAGCTGGTGACAAAGGTGCAACAGGTGAAGGAACCCCCGACAAGTTGCCTAACAATTTGTGGTGTGTGCATTCAAAATACTGCCCTCACAAAGGTTTGGTTTTTTAAGCACCAGTGTGGGGTCGGGTTTTTCATTGGGAGGTCCGGTCTGCAGTGGTAGGGTCATGATCTTTCTGGAGTCACAACTCGAAGACCGATGGAAACTGGCGCTTTCGTTTGGGCGACTACAAGTCTGGACCAGCCGGGGAGCGCTTTGTCGCCGGTGTCTTGGACCCTCAAACCAAGAAACGGAAAGGGGGTCCAACATCACGGAAAGAAATTAGAAGCTGAAAATCAGATTAGTGATAATCGATTCAGGAATAAAAACATGAAGACCCCAACAAATTTATACACACACACAACAAAGCAACCACTCCCTCGCTGTGTGTTTTCAACTGCCACCCCTACTGCTCTTAGCTCCACATCACCAAACCCAACCACAAGTTCGGGGCAATGATGTACAGTAGGGAACCAAAAGCTTTCTATGCGGGGGGGGGGGTGCTGTAATTCTCGAACCTGGTTTTTGACCTCCGCTATAAAGCTTGCTTCTTTGGGTCTCAAAGCCATTTGGGGTCCTGAGGAATCACATCTTTAGGTCTGGAAGCTTCCATGAAAAGAGAACGCAACGGGCACTCAGACCTGAGGGAAAACAAACTCTCGAACCCGGGACAAAAAGGTCTGCATTCTAAGCCGAAGTGGAAACAAAACGTCACGGTCTGGAACAGGCCAACATATTATTTCAGAAGAAACAAAAAGAGGTCGACAGCTGGGTCTCATGCGCCCAAACGCAAAGCCTACACCCGAAACACTAAACCCAAACCCTCAAACACAATGGCGGATCGCAGCGATTGGAGGTCAAAATAGTGAAACCCCCAAGACCGGGTGTTCCCTTGACCTTGACTTCCTTGCCAACCACCCTGCAAAGGGCCCTGGAGTTGCTCCTTTCGCTTCAAGAACCCCCCAAAATGAGTTTTCAACCTCTGGATGCTGTGATAAACTCTAGTACAATGGGCTTCATGATTCCAAATATTAGGTTTTTCCCATGATCATGAGCCAATTTAGTTTGATGGTTCCCCACAACTAACCCTTTGTGTGACCATTCCTACTAGTCTGCAACCTTTACAATACTTCCAAAACTTGAAACAAGGGACTCCAGGTACAGGACCTGCGTCGGCTGAGATGGGTGAGCTCGTTGAACTCCCGAAAAACGGTTTGCCTCGACACAAAGCAAGGCAGAGTTATGCAGCCGAAAACGCCCATATGGGGGAACCGCCCTATTAATCCACCATGCTGTCAGATTCCCTCCAATCGCTGGCTCGGATTTGAGGTTTGGGTTTCGAGTCGAGGTTCTTAAGGTCTCAGTTAAGGGCCTGAGCTCATCCGTGACGGGGGCCCCTGTTTTGGTTTGAAAGTGAAGCCAAAGGAACACTTAGTTTGGAAGGTCGAAATCCGATTTTTTGAGACCAACTTGTGACTCAACTGCCGCCGAAAAGGAAAAAACGCGACGGCCGCCTTTCCCCACGGCGATCCGGAAGGACATGGGGCAGCTTCGCGCCGGGTCGAGCTGCCAGGTCGCGGATTCGGCGGATGGCCCCGAAAAGTCGTGCTCGCTCAGGTTGCACTTCTTGGTATGGATTCATGGCTCGGGGACTGGTTCACCTCTCTGGAAATGGGGCCTAATCATCAAAGTGGAGGCTTGCGCAACAACCGGTAACCCTAGAAACACAGTGGTGCCTAAGGAAAAGACAAGGACCTGATAGCGCTTAGTTCTCTACCTTGGTGGTTTGGTCATTGCTTTGAGGCAGAATACAGGGAATGAGATAGAGGGTGCCGCTCCACAACTGGGCCGCTAGGGGATGCTGATTTTCCAAGTTTGGGCTCGGTATGTTGCACATGCACGGTCAGAATGGGCTCAAATCATGGTCAAGTAGCCTGGCAGTTCGTGCGGCCGAACTTACCCGCTCGCGCCATGTTTGACAACCTGAATTGCACTAGACCCTCGCGAACGCGCAACCCACCTAGAACCCCCAGGCAACCAGCTCGCATGTCCCACTCAGCCTCCCTCGCAGCAAACACGCGCCTCGTTTAAGCACCTGAGGTCCACGGTACCCTTGCCCTTGGCCTGGCAAAGCGTCAAAGTGGACCCTGGGCAGGGAAGTGAACTGGCTGGGAAGGGAAAATCATTCACAAACAAGGCACCAGCGCGTGGGTCCCAACCGCATGGGCAAATGCAGTTGTTGTTGTGGGGGGGGAGTCAGGCAAGGCCAACACCAGGAGACTTGCAAGGACGGATATCCGCTATGGATGGGATGCTCCCGTACTAGCCTTCACTTGCCGGGGCTTCAGTGGTTGTGGCTCACTGGTGCTCTGAAAGGGCTCAATCATGTACCTCGGAGAATGATATACACAAATGTGTGTATATATACATACGTATTTCACACATACCCCTTACATGCCGGTTTAGCAATACCATACTAACATAAGTAGCATATCGGGGGGGTGGGCCTCCCCGGTGTTATTAGAACCCCCCCCCCCCCGGCAAACTAATCTACGTGGGTGGTCCTAACCCTTGCCCTTGGCCTGGGGACCCGACTCGAAGTGCACCGGCTGCTTAAAGGGAAAGTGAAAAACAGAGGCAGCACCCGGGTCCCGGCCACTTGGAGGGACAGTACTTAGGATTTGGGACATGGGAAAGTCATGTTGGCGGGTGCCGGTTTGGGGTCCCCTGATTGAATTACAAGCACTATTATTGTAAACCAGTCGTTATTGGTTTAGGAGACTGCGGACTGCGGGCGGGTTCTCTCCAAAGAACTATTATGTTTAAGGAACAAAACTCTGTCCAAAGTGACATCGTCCAATTCATCTTGCAGCAATGGTTGTTTAAAGGGAACACCTTAAGCACTCTTAAGAACCTCTCAACGTGCAGTCACTTTAGGAGACGCAGCATGCTTCCTAAACAATACATCTTCTGAGCACCCCGCGCATGGCGGAAACTCTAAGGGGTCACTGGTTTCACCTTTCAAAGGTGCAATTGAGACACCATCAAAATCCGGAACGTGAGTGAGGCATAGTCCCAAGTATAGATAGGTGCGGTCTTCGCCATTTTAATCTCTTTGCATGGTTCTGGGCAGACCATGTTGATTCGTATGGCCAAACTCATCCCTCAGCACTGGCAACGGGCACTTGTGGGCCTATGCTTGTGGCAAGAAGGGCTCCAAATACATCTAACGCCAAATGTTGATTTCGGGACTCATAACCACCTGGTTGAACTGATCCGGATCACAGGAACCGCCGTCAGGAAATCCGGGCTTGACATATGGGCCCCCTGCAAGAGGAACGCTTTGCTGGTAAGGCGAAAAAGTATCACCACAAAGGCACAGTTGAAAAGGCAGAGTCAAACGACTGCCATTTGTGCAGGATTCTGCGGGTTGGCCTGTCGCTCTGTCAGATGTTCAGAGTTCTTCCGCCCTTCGGCATCTTCTGTCGGACACTAAACACATTCCGCTACCCAAAAAAAAGATGTCCCCACGGCCGAAATCTACTTTGTGGCCGAAATCGGTCACCACAGGCTAACAACCACCACTGAGTCGTTCCTGTTCATGATTGCTGAGCTCTTGAACAGCGTGGAATGTTGCAACCTTTGAATCGAGTCCAAGCAACACTTCCCACGCTTTTGTCCTTTTTGGCAGCTTGAGTTTCGTGGTTGCCTTTGGTCGGCTTCCTTCTGGTTTCAAGTCCCTTGAAACCAACCCCCAAAAGAGTATCTTCCAAAACAACCTGAGCCACGGTGAAAAAATACCTGGTCCCTCCCCCCCCCCCACCCCCGACATAATAAATAATTCTTTCCAAAGTTTGGCGACTTGCGGCGAGTCCCCCGTTTTCTGCGGGAAAAAAATGTCGCGTCCTTTTCCCATCACCCCTCCCAATGAACCACCGACGGGATCTCCCACTGCTTTGGCTTCAAAGGCCTTCCGGAAGGAGGCGCCGCCGCGGCTCTCCGAGGTCACGGTGGGCCGGAGGCACATCTTAAACTGGACCTCCTTGCCCTGGCGCGCGAGAGCGCGCTCTCTAGGCGCCTAGAGAGCGCGTGTATGGAAGACCAAGGGTGTGGCTGTGAATGGAAGCTGAACGTGGAGTTTTAGGGTACCTTCCCCATTCTTTCCAGGGATCTTTCTTGTACGGAAACCAGAGAAACAGCTGGTGTTGAAAAGAACAATGGTTGAAAAGAATGGGGAATCAAGCCCTAGAGGAGTTGGCGACTAAGCCAAACTTGGCCAAATGGGCTATGAGTGGAGTAAGGCTCCTCTCAAGTGGATTTGGGCTACTGGGTGAAACAAAGCCGCCAAACCATTCAGCCGTTAATTGCTTCCGACTCCCGGAACTCAAGGAACTGGAGCCTCCAAAAAAGGTTAAGCCCTGCGGGTGGTGCGCCTCCATCCCTGGCACGTGCTCCAGCCAATGTGTCGATTTTGAGGCTAACGACACCCCAAAAGAAAACACATGTCCGGTTTGAGGTTGAGATTTTGGGGGCTAAATCCTATGAGACTGCCCTGGCATTTTGCCATTGCCTACGCCGCCCCTAGGAGTCGAGGGGCAACCACTCCAGCTGACTGCGACCCCAAGAAACCGTCAAACTAACCCAAGTGTCAACCCAAACTTGGCTCTCCGCACGGCAAGTCATGCCGGGCGAGGCTCCCATGGACACTTCGAAGGGCGGTGACACTTTCTCCCGGTCCTCGGACGAAAACTTCCCCCAGACCCATGGCCCATGGTCAGGTTACTTCTCGCCACAACGGCTAGGACCCGGCGACCCAAACAGCAAAAACACAGCGAAGGCCAAGTTCAGAAGGACCTGAAAAGGGCAAGCGGCCCGTAAAACGCGTTGGGCTACAGTAAACTAAAAGACAACAACCTGATCTGGAGTACACCCTACTATCGGTTGGCCTTGCGTCCTCCATGTCGAGGTTTATTGGAGGGTCAGGGTCTCGAGGGGGCATAAGCCTTAGGACAAAAATATGTTTAGGTTCTGCTGCATATTTGGATATCAAAACAATACAATCATGCTGGAGAAGCCCCAGACTTATGATAGGTAATCCAACAACCCTTGACTTTGTAAGATCTTCACGCAAGCTCTGTACGCCTTGCGCGGAACCTACAAAAATGAGGGGCTTGGGGTTCCTTCTGTCGTCTGAGCCATGGACAATATCGCTTATGGGTTGCTCGTACGATTGGGCTCCAACCGCTCCCCAAACCCTACCACCCCCTTATGGTTTCCCGACAAAAACACGGTTTGATTCCGCAAGTTCAGGCGCGAGAGAGGGAGAACCAGGAGAAGGAGGGTGAGGGGTTGACTGATACTCCATTTTTGGTGTCCTTCTAGGAAAATAACCGAACATTCACTTCCTGAGTGGGCATGCCCAGAGAAGTCCACACTTGTTGCTTGCCATTCAAATCGACTTCCCAAACTTAAGGCCCAGGAGCTCCCGACCCAGCTTCAGCCCGATCCGTTTTGAGTTGGTCATGATTTCTCGGACCGCGTTGCTGCTGAACGGGCGAACAAAGAATGTGCGGTGTTGAACATCTGCCGGAGACAGCGAACCTCACGCAGGCCTCAACAACCCGACATGTCCGGGAATGGGAAATTGCACCGTACCCATGCGCTGCCATGCAAATTCAGCTCTGGGGATAGCACCGTGAGCTCACCCGCCTTCATCGAATGCAACTGCCGCAAGGCTGTGTTCGCTGTGGCCCGGGGCTCTGGGGTCGGAAAAGTCTAACGCCATCCAACGACAGCACCTGCGCTTCTGCAGCTGCCCAGGCATTGCCCAGCGTAGGCAAAACATGTGTGCACGTCTCAGGGAGAAACAACTGCCAAATTGGAAACTATTGTTATGACCTCGAAATGCCAGCAGTTAACTTGTGAAAAGATAAAATAACTTGGTCATTCGTGATGTTCAAAGCCACCCAAACCCTGGCTTTGACATTCCGTGTCCAACTTCCGTGCGCTTAAGCTAAACAACCATGGAGAATGCGATGCTTGAACAGTGCCTTTGCTGTTAGAGAACAAACTTAGCTCACTGCTACAAAGAACTGGGTCAGACACCCTGAGAAAATGACAAAAACACAGTATACAAAAGTGCGAATGGTCTAGGGGGCCAATGAAACAAGACCCTGTCGCCATTTGATACTGCCGTGGTGGAGTCTGACTAAGTTGGGACCGACTTTAGCTGGTGACGCCAAAACCAACTTGCCGGCCAGCAGTCTGAGCGTGCCATTGGGTTTAATGGAGTTCAAAAGAACACCCGCACACAGCCATATACATGCGAATGTATGCATACATCGAACCTCCGGCGGCCAAACTTTTGGCCAGGCAGAGCTTTTCCTGTAGCACATGTTTTCCTCAAAAGCGTTACGGGAAACGGCGGAATTCGGCGATCATTGCTTTATGTGGCGGCGTTGTTTTCTGGAAATCGTTTTTGCCCCCTTTCCCCGAAATCGGAGCTTCTTTTCCAAATTGGCATTTGTCTTGCAGTTTCAGCTGAAATGTCCGCCGCCGAGCATTTAGCAGAAAGTTCAGCTGATTGCGAGGTTCTATATTATATATATATATACACACAATCATAAATATGTCATACACAAGTTGGTAGTTCCGTGTAGGGGTCTGTCATTTTACGGCTTCCCTTGGTAGCCGCTTTCGCCTCACCCAGCTTGACCGTCGGCTTTCGGAACGACTGCGGCCCCGACGGAGGATTTCAGGACCTTGGCGTCCACCTGGTGTCCGATCCCAGCGATTTGACCCGTGGATGTGGCCATGGGTCAAAATCCAAGTCGTACCCCCAGTGAACATCCCAATCCCCACTAAAATAGACGAACATGGGTGGTGTACTTTCTCCAAAATATTATTGGTTTTGACAAACAGCCATGTTGGGAAAGACAGGAAGTTGGTAGTTCCTTGCCCCCCCTCCTCAATAAAAAAATGAAAAAGAGAGGTGGAATTTCTTCTTTTGTTGGGGGGTAGATAAGAGGGGTGGAATTGCCTCTGTTGTTAGGGGTAGATAACTGATCTTTTAAAGGGAAATCCCCTCCCGCTTCCAAAAAAAGAAAAGGAGAGGAGGGCACCACGGCGGGTCTAGGGTGTCTTTGCAACAGTCCCCCAATTTGTTTTTTCTTTTTTCCTGGGGAGTTCCAGATTCATCCGCCAACATAGCTGGAAGCAGCTTGGTTTTCTGAAAAGACGTAGTGGAACTCAAGCACCTACAGTCATGCTCAATCTGTCCTGTGGTGACCGGATCCACTGGGAAAGGTTAGCCATGGAGAAATGTCCTGCCAGACCTGCAGCCAAGCGCGTTGGTTAATTCACGTCCTGACCTGGCCACAAAGAGTCCAGGAAATTGATTGCCTTACCAGTGGGCCCAAACAGCCCAGGTCACTTCACAATTTCATAGCCGGTGGGTCCTACCTGAGGCTGAGGTTCGTTGGTCACCCGAGAAAGTGTCACACCCTCGGCATCTGAAGAAAACTGCGGCAAAGCGTTCAGCAGGCAAACCTTGCGCTAGGGAACCGTCGCCGGATTTGTTGTGACATAGGGAGAAATGCTGAACCGTCACGCGCTGCATATGGTGACAACCCTTCTTTACATCTGGCAGGGTACGTCTTGTTTTTTGCCCCACCCCCCCCTCCCCCGAATGGTGGTGTTCCTTTTACAACCGCAAAAAAACGAGTACCCAAGAAAAAACAACTTATATACAAAATGACACCAGCCAGCGTCTCAGTGGCCACCCCGGACAACCCTGCCCCCCATGCAGAAGAGCCAGGAATATCTACTGGTTGGGTCGCGCAAATCTGACACAAGTCGGCAGAGAACATCCAGTCTGAGAAGCAAGCTGTCCAATGAATTCGGAAGATGGCGCTATTTACGCCTCAGCCGCTCCAGGTCCGTGACATGAACGTGGAAGGCAATGCTTCGTTGAGTGGACTCACTTCCTGAGAGTGGCCAACGCCAAACGCCCTTGTCTACCTTCTCCGCATGATCTTCCCCAACAGTTTGAAGTCCAAAGACTGCCAAAGTGAGATTGTGCCATCCTTCAAAAAGACCCTTTGGTCGTAGCCAACTGATTGCTCCACCAAAAGTGTGAATCGCTTGTCAAGCCCCACCAAACAAAGTCATGCAACATCCCCTTAGATGTCCTTAGAATTACAGGGGGGGAGGTTGATAGGGAGTTTGCACTCCATTGACCAAGTCCTCCCACAACGGTGAAACACAATTTAGAGGCCTGCCCTCCGCGCATTCCTACATACAGTTGCTGGAAACCTGTCTCTCCGATTTCCGCAAAACAAGTACCTTCCTGTGGCGTGCTCAGGAAACGGGCGTCTCTTGAGGAAGCCCCTGGCAACTGGCGCCCAGTTTCATTGCAGTGCTGAGCTTGAAATGTGACTTGGTAGCCACACTCATTCTGAACCTGTGGGTGCCATTCACAACGTTGCGGCAATACCCCCACCCCCCCAGTCAAGCGGGTACTTATCGTGTTGCATGATTTTATCACTGAGACGTACCCAGGCCGAGAAAGACCATTGGATATGAAGCTGCACTTGCGCTGAGTTCGCCCGTTCAGCTTGGCAAAGCTACGGAGCCCTTACTTGTTTGAACACATCAAGCTGAAAAAGTCTCTCATGTTTATCCTCATCCCATCCGTAGAACACGAGCCTCGCAAACGAGCCCTGCCGGAGCATGTTCAACTAAGTTCAAAATCTGTCTTGTATATATATACATATATATATATATATACTAATATTTTATGTACATCCATACATAACGGTTCATGGCCAAGCTCACCTTCCAGATTTGATTCCCTGAGCATTGCGGGGAAACAACCGGTCACTCATTGGAGTGCTTCGCCTTCTTGGGCTCCCCGAGGCTTTGAGGTCAACTCGGTGTGTACTCGAAGGGGGATCCCCCAATGGTCGATTTATTTTCTTCAGTTGAGTCAGAATCAAAACCCGGCCGGTATTGAAATGGTCTACCCAGAACCATGTAAAGAATTAAGAAGGCGGCCGCAGCTATTTGTGGTTGGGATTGTGCCTTGCTAACCTTCATCTACCCGGGCTTTGATTGCGGCTCAGTTGAAAACCTCCGGCGATTCAACCGACAGACCTGGGCGCCCGGGCTGAAGGCGCGCTGCAGCACCGGCGCCCTCGGCTCCACGCGAGCCTTGGATCCGTGTCTTGCGGGGTGGCGTGGACGACCCGAAGGATGTCTCCAAGATGAGTCCCGAATGGCGAGTTTCCCTTTTCACCCTTTTTCAGCAACCCCAAAGAGGGCACCAACAACAAAACCGGTGAACTCCTGGCTGTAAAAAGGAACTCGCACTCTTCTGTTGGCTCATTCTAAAGGGCTTCACCCCCTTCAACAAAAAGAGAAGGAAGGGTCACGAGTCACAAGCCCATGGATGTCTGAGGTCTCCTCGAACTCCAGCCTCGCCTCTCTCGTCTTCGGCTTTTGGCTTGGCGCCCGCGCCGGGGGCAGCACTGCTGGCTCCTTGTCCGGCACCGGTGACACCGGCGCATCCTTGAGCTCCACAGAAGGCGCCTCCGCTTTTTTCGAAGGCTCCGAGGGCGGCCACCGAAATTCTAGGGGTAGCTTCCACTTCCATTCTTTCCAGGGATCCTTCCTTTCAAGAAACCATCAGACCTTCATGGGAAGCAGCGGTCGGTTCTTGAAAAGAACGATGGTTGAAAAGAATCGGGGCATCAAGCTCTAGAAAAGTGGCACCTGACGGGGTCCTTCAGGAAACTGAGCTTCCAGTTACCCTCCGGATTCCCAGAGGCGCGACTTGCTAGTGGGAGTCAGGGTATGGAACAATGAACCTGGACAAAATGATGTACCTATTGGGATGGATGAAACGCGACTTGATATTGGGACAAGGGCCAACTTGCCGAAAAATGGGCCCGTCTCCTTTGCGGGTACCCGTTCGGAGTTGGGTTCATGAAACCCATTTTGGGAGTCATCTACTCTATGACACACCCACATGTGCACATGGTGTGTGAAGCTTTTCGGTCCTAAACCCTTCGTGTCTGAGTCCTTCAACTCTGGGACCAGACGGCGAAACCCTTAATTCTCGCGCGAAAGTGGCGCTTCCGCTTACACGCCGCACGACTTCTTTTGGGGGCCCGTTAGTTCTAACAAACGATTCGGTGCTATACTAGGAGGCAGCATGATTGTCCTGTGCAAGCCATGGAAGCCCGTTGAGTCTTACCTGTTAAGTGTCTGAGCAATGTCCCGTGCACTTCAGGCTTCCAGATGGGCCCTTGAAGCACCAGAAAGAAAGTCGAATGCCTGAACGGAGTTGCTCCTCTTGCTTCACAAGCTTTGAACAATTGAAACTTCAAAAGGAAACCAAGGCTAACTTCGCAAAACGTGGCTTGGTCATCATTCAAAGCTTTTTGCACCGTAGTTTGAAGGATTGTTTACAAGTCAGCCAAACCCGTAAACAATGCGTCACCCCAAACGCGACTTTGGGGCGACTCTTCCCTTTCCATCCCAGGAGGGGGACTCCTGTCTTGACACCTGCCAAGGGTCTCCATGACTCCTCAACAGTGGAGTCACGACCCCTTCCGCGTTTCGAGTCGCGCCATTTCGGAACCATCGCCTCTGTGGGCGGCGCGGGGATGCCGTTGGGCCAGCGCGCGAACTTCTGCGGCAGCGCCTCCGTTTTCTGAATTCGCGTGACCCTTTGCAGGTTGGGTCAAGGGGAACCACCCTTTGGGGGTTGGGCCATACAAAAAGACACCATTTGGGGGTTGCGTCAAATTGGGAAACTACTCCTTTTCTTTGGGGAGGGAGGAGAGGGGGTTCTGTTTTGAGAAACACCCATTTCTTGACGAATGGAGAGGGACGGGCCAGTCCATCAACGTGCGGGCAAAACTTCGGCAACTGTCAAACGTGCAATGGGGATGCCCGGCGCACCATGGCACAGTGCACCTGTCGGGCTGGCCCAAGCCCCTGCTTGCAGAATCTGTGGGTCTCCTTTGAAGGGATGGCAGGGGTCGGTGGTTTGCACAACTGCGTGCCACGTACGGTTGCTCACCGAAGAGCGCGGAGGAGGGAATACCGACCATCACTTCCTGTGTGCAAAAACAAACCCCATCTGTTTATGTACTCTTCCAAAAATTACATAACGCCCAACCACTTGGGAAAAGAGAGCCTACGCGCGACCTCTTGTTGCTTTGCTTTCCATTTTGGCCTGGGACAAAACTACTGGTTCCCCCAAGGGAGCATGGGACGACTGAATGGGGTCTAGTTTGGTGGGAAATTTGTGTGTCCTCCCCAAAACAACCGTTGACTCGTGGAAAGTGCTGAACAATAGCATTATTTTCCTGCGATCATGACTTGAGTTGGTCTGAAAGTACCCCACAAACTGCAAACCCAATTCAAATTATTTGAGACGTTATAGAACCAGGATTCTTGTCAGCTCAATTCCTAGGGTTCCTTAAAGCATCCCAACACAAGCCAGTTTGGTATCAATTGTGAATCGGACCCCCCAAAATTGCGGAGAGGTGTTTTTTTTTGGTTTCCGTCCAAACCACGGTGAAAAGCGCTTTCTGAAAAAAAGAAGAAAAACAACACACACACACACACACAACGTGAATTGACTGTGTGCTCTCATAAAGGGGCCACATTCCCTCTAGATTTGTCCCTGATTTCCCCCTCATTCTGGATACTCTCGCGCAAACAGGTCCGCTTTCGCCCGGCCATGTCGTCAGGGATAGTCGCAGGCACGGGGCCCATGATGCCATTGGGCAGAATCACCATCGCCTCGGTGAAGGTGGGTAGCTGACTTTTGGCTCGAGCTAAATACTCGGTTTGGACAGGCCTTCATTTGGGCCCCATTGGCTTGGGTCTTTTCTGGTCCTGGTATTACGCTTCTGGGGGCTTAACCCCCATGAACGCAGAACCACCTACTCAAATGGGGTGAACCACCTAACATGGCGGATGCGGGTTTAGGGCCCTACATGATTCTTGGTAAGCCAAGTTCAAGCACCTACTAAAATGGCTAGTAGAGGGTTTGGGCGCTCGTGTCGTTGAGTTGCCGGGTGAGATACAATCATTTAGCATACCCAGCCAATGCAGGTGGCACACAGATAACAAACTCTAACAAACTGCTCCCAGGGCCAAGGGGGGTGCAAGGTATATAGTTTGATGGGTTCCTGGAAAAGGGCAACCAGCCCGCATGACTGCTTCTTGAAGCTGATTTGCACACCAGGCGCAGGCTGCAAGGCCTTCATATGGAGCTGGGGGCAGACGATCTGACAGCTCGCTGGCCACAAAGCGAATCATCACGCCAGCGTCTGCCAGGGCAAGTGCCATCTTCCCAAGCGAGTCGGCTTTTGGATAGCCGCTTCAAGTACATCTGCAGTCCGTACTAGGCCTTGAAGTCATTTGGCATGCGCTGCACTTCACTGAACCGCTAAAGGTCAGCAAACAGGTCTGCATCTTTGGGCTTTGGTTGATTGCTTGTAGCTCAGAGTATCCTTGACGCGTTTTCGAGATTTCCCAGAAAACGTGGGTGGGCCAGAATTGGCGGCTACATTCTACTTATGTTATGCAACGAAATCAGCCCCAAGGAAGGGGTTCCTATCACTCCCATCACTTACAATGTCCAAACTGGACATCAGGACACCCGAAGAGTGGAACCAGCTCGTTTGAGCCCCAGGTGAGCTTATTCTCTGCAGGTCGCTATGATCCAGGTCCATCTGCCCCAAAGTAAGTGTTCCCTATGACAAAAACCTACATCATAGGTTTTCGATCGCAACCCCCCCCCCCCGTTGAGGCTGTGATTTGCGCAAATGTAACCAACATTTGCAAGGACCCTGCCCCCTTGCGCGGCAGCTTGCCACGGAACAAGCAGGCGACATTCCTCTTGGGTGTGGGTGTTGCTTTAAGTGGCTTCACCGCGAGCTTTCTGCACTCTGGTGCGGCTGGCGATCTTTGATGTGCTTTGTGCTTCAATGCTGGTGATGTCAAGCATGCGCCGATAGAGAAACCCAGGCAAAACACGAGGATGCAAATGGACTACGATTCTGGGCAAACTACTGTGATTCCCAAACTGGAATGAAGTAATCCCCCTGCAAAGAACCTTCAACATGAGGTAAGCTTGTTGTTCAGATGATTCCCAGAGAGGGAGTTCTGTTTCCTTTGCCATCACACGGTCATCATCTTCGGCGAACTTTAGGTTGCTCCCTCTGAAGTCCGCGCAGGGGTAGTCATGAAAAGGGGCTGCGGAGAGTTTGTTCATGGAAAAACATATGCCCCTCAAATGTGCCATGGTTGGAATCTGCGGGTCAAGGTCATGGTCTCCGTAAAGAAACCTTATCTAAAACCCCCAGGGGTTGATGACAATCCATAACCCCGCCTCAGGATCGGAACCTGGATACAAATGAAACATGGCCCTTTCTGCCCTTGCTGACCCACGGCCAATCTACCTGTTCGCCTTCATGAGAGTGATAAGAAGGATTGTCACCTTGAAAACCATTTTGGTAGATCCACAGGTCGATGGGTTTTGGCACTCAAAGCACGAACTAGGCCTGACAGGGGAACACACTCTTCCCTTTTCTAGCTTCAGGAAACGTGGTTGCCCAAATGGAGGGTCTGCCGCTAAAGCCCCACTTGAGTGGCCAAGACAAGTTTCAGGTGGGAGGCGGTTTATCAACCAGTGCTCCTAAACGCAGAATGGTCAGGGAGTTTCCGTGGATTTTGCGGGCAACTTGGGTTTGTCTCGAACTGTTTGCTTCCCACATAGGTGGTCCACAAGTCCAGGAGCTTGAGGAATGAGTGGTTTGTTGTTTTCACCTAGCTTGAGCCCATGAACAACAAATGACGAAGGTCGAAGCTCCCATTGTCGGAGCTCGGGCTGCCCATGTTGTCCCTGATTGATTTTGGGTCCTCCAAACAGGTTTTGATTTTCTAGGGTGTCTCTGGCTTTGGTGGGGATTGTCTCTTTTGGAGGGGAACACCCCCATATTTATCCCAGTTGTTCAGTGACCCTGGAAAAAAGGGAACCCTTTTTGGGGAAGACCATTTTAGTGGGGCAGCCACAAAAAAAAAGAAGGAAAAAGGGTGGGGGGTTCTTAATCCGGGGTCAACATTAAAGGGCGCAAAGGGCCACCTCCCAAACCAGCGCCCCCCGCTGGCGCGAGCGAGCGCGTCCGCTGAGACCCGCACAGAGCCAGGGATCACCATGGGACCCGCCGGCATGACCTGAGAGCTTGGCCATGGGTAAAACACAGCGACCAGCACCCGGGGCCCAACATCTGCGCCTTTTCAGCCATGTCTGAAATCTCACCTGTCCAACAAGCAGTTGTTGGGTGCTCGAATTACATAGCTTGTTTTATTCAGGAGACCCCAGTGGACCCGTGATTTGGAGCTCGCTAGTTTTTGGAGAGCATGCCAAAACATCAACATGAAAGGCCAGTAGTTTTTCGGGCCAGCCAGCGAAGAAGGGGGGCCAAATATGACTGGCAGCAACATGACGATTCAACCTGGAGCCGAAGCAAACTCAGGACCCGCAAATGGACCCTAAACAGGTGTGGCAGGCCTGCACAATTCACCGACAGAACTTAGTGGGGTTCATGAATCCCTAGCTAAAAGTCAAACTTGCTGTGGGATGTACCATCCTCTAAACTCCAAAGTCGAAAAGTCAAAGGGTACTGGGAACCGCCAAGAGACTCGTCTCTCAAGGCGAGGCACTCAGCTTGAAGAACGGCGGGGCAGCTCCGGGTTCCCCGTGCGGGGGTACGCAACCATGCGCCAAAACAAATCGGACATTTGAAGGGGTTCACCATTTTTGCCGAAGCCGCCGAAAGAAGCAATGCAAGAGGGTGGACTGGGACTAACTAAACTTGCACCTGGGAGATCCCCAAATTTGGGAAACCCAAAACCTGGAGCAACGAGAAACCGGGAGCCCGGCCAAGAACGCGAGACCCTGGGCCCAAACCCCAGACCCCTTCTTTGGGCTCCTGGCTGGCTGCTGATATCCACCCTCGGTGGTCCAAATCCCAGCGGGTGGATGAGATCGTGTCATAGGCATTACCCCAACTGGGCAAACTGTCCACAAGCGCTTCCCGTGAACTCGGGTGGCAAGGTACAACACCAAAATTACTCTAGGGATCTTAGGGGGATCATGACGATGACCAGCAGCTTTGACCATGGCACACATTTTTCCGTACTAGAAGGACGGGACCTCTGATTCGAAAGCCGTTGAGCTGGTATTTCCGGCCAACATGATATGAACAATGACTTCATAGTAACAATCCGCGTATGGTTTGCGGACGTTTGATGTCAGTTCAATGAAAAGCCCATGTTACCAGAAAGCAAAACCGTTGATCAGAACCAGCACCCCCGAACCGCTACGTTTTGCACAGTAACGACTTGGGATTTTGGACATGGGACAAAGCAGTTGTTTTGGGTTGCTGGCAGGTGTAATTCTAGCTCTCATGAGTTCACATAATTGAAAGGTGCATTGGCAAACTGGAGTGTGAAAGCTTCAGGGCAGACGCATCCTTTCTTGTACGTGTCAAGTCGGGATGAATTAATCCCGCTGGCTCTGGGGAGCCTGATTTGGTCCCCTTTACCGGCGACCAAACCTATAGCCTTCCATCGGAGCAACATTGTTTTTGATGTTTCGGCAACCACTCTTTTCCAAGAAACCTGCAAACATATGATGCGTGTAGCTTGTCAAAACCCAGTTTGGTTGTAAACCAATGCATCCCCTAGGAAATCGTGCATTCTCACGATCCATCACCCCAAAAGAGCACATCCTTTCGGCAAGGGCTTACAAAAGCAAACTTCATCTTGAACAAGACCTTGCTTCTTCAGGCCACAGTCAGAGGTTCTGGGGTTCATACATTCAGCCTTGGACATCAGGACTCTTTTGTATGACTCACAAGCATCAGCCATAGTTCCAAGCCAGTGGTGTTCCAAATTTCGGGCCCAAGAAGCGCCGCAGATGATCTCAAAGGACTCCTCCCCTCGCCCCTTCAAGGACCCCTTCCTTTCGCTCCCCTAAGCCAGCCGAAATAAATGAGAACTCAGTTGTCCAAAGGACCCAGAAATAAAGGACAACCCTTTTGCGGTCATGACTAAAAATGCACCAAGCAGGAGAAGCAAAAGGTTAGCAGGTCGGCTTTGTCAAGTGAGAGAATCCTTGCATTGGTCGCCTATGCCTTGTAAATGGTCCATGACCATCCCTAACCCAGTTGATACTGGGCCCGGAACAGGGTGTCAACCGAAGATCCCTCAAATGATGGTTTGGTGCCATGCAACTACAACAAGAGTACCCTCAAGCAAAGCAAAACACACATGTGCCTTTTGGTTTGTATTTAACCCACCCCCAAAAAGGGGTTGCCCCTCTAAAACGACAGGCAAATGGCTCTCTTATTTTTCCCAGAAGCTCCAGACGTCCCCCCCCCCTCGAACACACCAATCTGGGCGCGAGGCCCCGGGACCCGGGTCGGGCAAAGGCTGCCTAGGCCCCGCTTCGCGCCAGTCCCGGAAAACGGGGGGGGGGGGTTGACTCCACCGACCCCAGCCGGGTCCCAAGCACTGCGTGGTTTTTGGACACGTTTTTTTTTGGACATGGGAAACAAAAAGAGCCAATCCATTTGGCCCGAGAAGCCTCAGGCGGCCAAATGCGGACGTGTATGCCAAGCGATTTCAGGAATTCCTACTGTGATTGTGATGTACTTGGATACGAAGCTTCCATAAGACTCATCAGGGTGACTGAAAATCCAGGGCTCGCTGTCTCAATGTTCCGTGAGACTGGCTGCCCACCTCAAAACCTAAGTGTCGTTGAACAACTTGGTCAACGTACCCACCTGGAAACTTGGATCTGTCTCACAGTAGGAATCGGAACCTCCAAAATGGAGTGGTGTTTGGTTTCCCTTGAAAGCGTCCAAAAGGGGTGCCCTCCAACATCCAAGACACACACCCAGATCTGTTCCTTCCCCCATCATGTTTTTCGGGCGACAACTGAGCAACCACCCGGCTCAGAGTTCTTGACCCCTTAAATGCGCTCCAAAGCGCTAACCTGTACTCGCCTGAAAACCAAATAGCCACAGAAGTCTTGGTTGCTATGTCCTTTTGAGCTACCTCAAATAGAAACCTTGCATTGGAGCGAGGCCTCGAACAATCACATGTGACCACTGAAGATGACTTCAAATCCTCCAGCTGAGCGA